AAAAAATAATTCATTTGACTTTCGAGATATAAATTTCTTTACCGAAATTAAAAGAGAAAATAAATAAATATATATATATATCATTGAAAATTAAAAGGAAAAGTTTTATAGAGGGGAGGAGAAAATCATTGTAGCTCTATGTGGGAGCATGGACAGAGCTAAGACTTTGATTACGAATTCGATCAAACTTAATAATTTTGATTCAAATTTCAATTTTATAATTAAAATTCATTAAATATATATAAATTATTAAATTTTTAAGTTTAATATTTTGAAAAATAAAATTAAATTATGATTCGAATATGTGATTGAGAATAAAGTGTGTCTATGTGTGTTTTATGTTTTTGTGGCATAAAGTATATTTTAATTAATCTGATCTGGACGTAAACATGGATAATTGTAACATATATTAGAAAAAGAATTTCCATATAGGTGAAGACAAAAATAAAATATATATAATTTGTATTAGGTAGTTTGTTTTTATACACGTAGCATTTATAGCCGGATACTTATAAAGTCTCAATTAGGTTAATACAACAATAATTAATTATCTTAATTCAGATAATTTTAGCAATATATTTTTAAAAAATTTGGATTTGCCTCTGAATCCCCCAGAACTAGGGTTCAAAATTTTGGCGCTATGTAATTTTTTTTATTGGGTATAATATATGGGTTGTCTAAATAAAATTTAAAAAATTATTAATAATAAAAAAGAAATAATGTGACATGGCATTCCATTAGGAGAGAGATGATGTTTTTTGTATCAAGTATATTTTGAGGAAAATATGTAAAGTTGAATGATATTGTAGTCCTAAAACAAACATAAGTGATATTATTAGGTAATTTCCCAAACTTGGATGACTATCTAGGGAAATTACTCCAACAAAGAGTTGTTCATATAATATGATGTGCTGTTGATTCAACATTTCTACAAAAAAACACAAGACATTAGTAATGTTCATGGTTTGAGATTACAAAATAATCTTGAATTGTGATGGCCTTCTTCCTTAGACTCATTCTTTCTTGTCTATCTATTTCTGCAAAATTATATTACATAAATTTCATATTGATTCATGAAAAAATTGAGATTGTGAATGTATATTATATTCTGTTTATATAGTTGTCTTCAAATTTTAATGGTGTAGAAATCTTTCAAATTCTACAATTAAGTAATACAGAATTATGTTGTAATTGAAAGAAATTATTGAAATAAAATAAAGAGTCTTTTATTATAAATGATAAGGATTAATCTTAGCATTGATTTTTTTTTTAAGGTTTTAAATCAATTAAAATGGTTTTTCCAGTTGCTCACACTAATGTTCTTTCGTTATTGTCTTTTTAATGATGAATTAAGAGTGGTCATAATCTTGAATTGTGATGGTCTTCTTCCTTAGACTCATTCTTTCTTGTCTATCTATTTCTGCAAATTTATATTACATAAATTTCATATTGATTCATGAAAAAATTGAGATTGTGAAGTGTATATTATATTCTGTTTATATAGTTGTCTTCAAATTTTAATGGTGTAGAAATCTTTCAAATTCTACAATTAAGTAATACAGAATTATGTTGTAATTGAAAGAAATTATTGAAATAAAATAAAGAGTCTTTTATTATAAATGATAAGGATTAATCTTAGCATTGATTTTTTTTTTTAAGGTTTTAAATCAATTAAAATGGTTTTGCCATTTGCTCACACTAATGTTCTTTCATTATTGTCTTTTTAATGATGAATTAAGAGAGGTCATAAAAATCAATTGTGTTTACTATGTAGGCTTGATTATACATTTATTGTATTAGTCTTTTATTAATCTATTTAATTAGTAAATTATGTATAAAAATGAAATTAAAATGTTAAAAAAAGAGGAGAAAATAGATAAATAGAAATGATGGCCATTGAGTGGTGCCACATCAGCCTGGTCTAGATTCAACTTTATATATATATATATATATATATAGATTGACATAATATATGTCTTTCAACTTTGGAGGTGCACAAGTAAAAACTCAAACTTGTATAAAGTTGAACAATTAGAAAAAACACGTCCTACGTGACAATTCTCGTAAAATACCCTCAAACTGATTTGTAGGGCACATATGTCTATTTGTTCAATTTTATACAAATTTAAATGTCTACTTGTGCACATCCAAAATTAGAGAACATAAATGTCAGTTAAATCTAATTTAATGAATAAATTTATCTATTTGTAAGTGTTTTTAATTTAAGCCTTCACGGAGGTTTGACATTGTAAATTAAAAGTTGAGACTCATTTCGGAATATCAAAGCCCATATAATCTTTACAGAGTTTATAAAAAAAACCTAGAAGGGAGATGAATCCAAAACATAATATTGTCCTCATCTAAGCTATGAGAAGCCCAACTTCTTCTATAGATATTGGCAATCCATTTGTATGACCAAGTACAAAATATTGCAAAGTAGCTATGAAGAATATTTGTCATAATTGTTATAATTGAGAATCTGCCCTTTGTAATTTAAAATTAACACTCGATATCCAGTACCCTTATATTATAAAAATCCTAAACAAATACTACTCCATGACCATTAGTTAACAGTTAGAAGAGAAATTCCTTGTACAGACCTAGGCATTGGAAGCCTTGACAAGTCGATTCTTGTGCACGCAGAGAGTGCAAGTCACTGCTATTTGCAAGGCTATTGAACTCCATACATTTGGATGGCATTGTTGGGTAGCGTCGTTGGCAGAATGTCACCAGTCTTTTAACTGAATGCAGAAGCTTCCTAGTTGTCTCATCATTCATGACATGAGCAACACTATTTGTGTGAATCTTCTCACGTGCTGATCGTTCATGAATACCAACCATAGTAACACCAATAGGCCAAGGTGCATTACCAATTGCTATCTTATTAAGATATTGATCCATTGCAGCACTATATTCTCTATTCATACAACATTCAACCATCACAACTAATGCTTTCCTAATGTCATGATTAAGTAACCTTTTCCTGCATAAATCAAATAACGGATTCAAATCCCTAGCACACTGCATCAAAGTAGCCACCACTGTCTGGTTTTTAGCCTCAGAACTCATATCATCAAGCTCTTGATTCCACTCATTCAACAACTTTTTGTAAAACACCAAAATCTTATCCTCATCACACAAATCCTCAAAATTAGTTTTCATCCTCTTCAAATCTTCACCATCTTTATCCTGATCTGTGGCTTTCCGCTTCAACATCCGTGACTTCTTCAATTCCAACATATCTCGCAAAAAGTCATTTGTTTGCCCTTCCGTCATATCACTTTCATCAACTTCAAACAATCCAGCTTTCAACACAAGATTCAACCTAGCAAACCTTGCCTCTTCATCTTCTCCGAATAAAGTTACAGGATGTTTCAAAACCCTAAGGCGGCGAACAACTTGTTGTAGCGGAAGGGAAATTAATGAAGAAGATTCCGATTTGATATTATCGGTTGACAAGTAAGATTTATGATTATTATGTTGCTGGGATTTCGCTTCGACTTCACGTTTTTCTTCTTCACGTTTTTTACTCTGTTCTATCTCTAATTTATTGAAAAATTTACGTCGATCCATATATTGGGCTCGATTGTTCCGTAGCTTCTCTGTTATTTGTTTCACTTCATCCATGGTTTTAGTTTTAGTTTTGGTTTTGATTTTGATTTGTCAATTTGATTTGCAAACTTTTAATTTATTTAAAGAAGAAACAAATTCAAATCCGACAAGGAATAGGATTTGAAAGAAAGGAAAAGGACTTGAGAAAAAAACTACGTAGGCGGTAGGAATATGAAATAAGTAACGTGTAGTTTCCTTTTTCTGTGAAAATAATAAGAGAATTAATGTTACTCCTAAACTATATGGGAAAACTTATTAGAAAAAATAAATGGGAAAGACAATTAGAAAAAAAATCTTAAAATATATGGGAAAGACTATTAGAATTTAGAAAAAGATTCCTAAAATATATGGAAAATACTATTAGAAAAAGACTATAAGCTCTATATTATAATAACAATATATGAATTATAAATGATTGGAAATTAACTAAAAGTTAGTACTATAATCTTAAGCTAACAATAAAGAGAAAAGAGTCTGCCTAAACTTTTTAGGAAATTAAGTGTAGGAATCCTAGAGAGTTTAGGATTTGTTATTTGATATTTATTTAATTATGTCTAGTTAGAATTTGTTTGTCCTAGTTTATATAGGAATAGATTTTCTAATCCTAATTTAATTTGGTTAGTTGGTATTATAAATAAGGGTGTTCTATTACATATTTTTTCATATAGTAAGATACTTGTGTTATTTTATAAAGCCTCCTCCCTCTCATCTCTAATTGCTCTGTGAACATGAGTGACGAAAGAAGAGTTCACCCAAATTGTGGGAATGGTTCGAACCCTTATCATGAATGCAGTGAATATTGCTTCAAAATAATAGCGGCAATAAAGAAGCAAATGATCAAAGCTGAAACATGTGTGTTGCAAGCTAATACTGTTGATGTTCATCGCTCCGATGCACCTGATGAAAGAGATGGTGTTGAAAGTCACAGTGATGATGGAGAGGATAATATGGGAGAAGAGTCGGTGAATCTGATAACAGGGAGGAAGAGGAAGTTATTTGAATTGAGGTTAAAAATGAATGTGGCAAGAAAAGCTAATCAATCTGCAATGGTAGTAGAGAAGAAAAAAACAGAAGCTCCCCCTGCAGAGTGTAGAGGAATGTCCAAGCAACAATGGATTGAAGAGAGGAAGAAGAAAATCGGGAATTTGTTGGATGCCAAAGGGTTAGATATGAGCAAGGCATATATGCTAGATACACAAGAGTCTGCAGAGACAAAGTATAAGAAATGGGAGAAGGAGCCTGCTCCAGCTGGTTGGGATGTTTTTAATAAGAAGACGCTATACAATGCATACAAGAAGCGGACAAAGAATGTTGATGTTGATGTAGATGAGTACAATAGAATGAAGGAAACTGTTCCAGAATTTTATCGAGAAGCTTCAAGTCTCCAGTATGGAAAGGCACCAAAATTGTCAGACGAAAAGATAGAGAGGATGGTGAAGGAGCTAAAGGACAGGGACGAGAAGCGCCAATCATTTAGTCGGAGGAGAAAGTTCCATGAAGAGAAAGACATTGACTCTATTAATGATCGTAACGAGCATTTCAATAAAAAGATTGAGCGTGCCTTTGGAAAATACACCTTGGAGATCAAGAATAACCTTGAGAGAGGATCTGCTTTGCCTGATTGAGCTATATTAATATGTACTTTAATTTTCTGTATCCTAGAGTGATGGCCTTTCTTGGTTTAATTATGCATTTTCAAGTAGAGAAAAGGAAATAATCTTTTCTTTTGAAATCAATTTGTAGAAATATTTTCACTAATGATTATTGAAAGGTCCACACCACCCTTGTTCCTCTTTTTTGTACTCCTTCCTTTGTTTCTATCAGTAGAAATTCAAATCTTATTTATCATCTTAATTAACATAGTTGGTTACAAAACACTATCAAGATTCTACGTCAAAAGCGGATTCTTTACTGATTTATGATATTGACAGAATTTAGCAAACTCATTGGCTGAAACCCAAATCATTTTCTCAGATGATGGACTAGAACCAAACATTTTGAACTAATGTTTAGTCCAAAAGGATTTAAAAATAGATTGTAGATGACTACAGGTAACTGCAACCAAATTAACAAGACCTATAATAAGTTTTCTGCAAACAAAGATGTCCCCTCACAGACCAAGAAGATATTTGGACAATGGTGAGCCCTAGTGGCTTTGATACCATGTAAAATATAGAGACAATGGAAAAATCTTCCTACTCATATTATTCCAAGAACGAGAGTTATTTATATGTGTACAAGCAAATCTATCTAAGGAAACAAAATCAGAAGCAAATCTATCTAAGGAAACAAAATCAGAAAATCTCAAAATATGTTCTATCTATGATAATGCGTCTATGTACAGTTTGTAACACTAAAGAAAATCTCTCTCAAATAACCATTGCCACTCCTCGAATGCCAGTTTGTTCCAAGCCTCAAAAGAATGACTGATCATCCTGCAATCAAATTTGGAAGTTCATTATGTCAGAGTATAAATCCAAAATGGAATCGAAAACTGGTTATGAGAGAATATATATAACAATCTAAAATTGTAAGAAACAGACACTTGCCTTTGAAGATATTTCTTCTTCTCTTGCGACTCTAAGATCGTTTCTTCTATTGTATCCTTGATAATAAATCTCACAATCCTAGTAATGAGGAGACAAAATAAGAGGCATTCAAGGGCATAACAATACAAGAAATGCAAAACACACCTGACTGGTTTATGTTGCCCTATTCGATGAACTCTATCTTGTGCTTGCTGCTCTGCATCAGGATTCAAGCAGGGATCCATCAAGAAAACCTAAGCATAGGTCAAGAAGATGTGAGCCACTTTTCATGCACTTACTTAATAGATGATTACAAGTTATAGTGGTTCTTTATATATCAAATGAACAACACAACAGGAGATATAACGCGCAACAGGAATGAAGCAACTAGAAATCCACAGAGAAGGATAATAGATCCCTTACATGTGATGCAACTGTAAGATCGAGGGCAACACCTCCAGCTTTGAAGCTCGTAAGCAATATCCTGCAATCTGGATCCTCAGTAAATCTGGTAACTGCTGCATATCTTGCAGAAACAGATGTGGATCCAACTAATTGAACACATTTGATGTCCGACTGCCAAAACACACATGTGAAAAGCTTAGTTTTTGTTACAAACTGACAAGAAAAGATGGACGGGAAAATGAAAAGGAAGAACAAAAAAATATCTTTATATCTTACCTTCTGAAGAGAATATTGTATCAGATCCAAAAATGGTGTAAACTGGCTGAAAACTATTCCTTTTGCAGAGCCATCTCTTTCAAACATGAACATAATTTCTTCTCTCTACATTTCAAAAAAGAAGTAGAAATGAACATTAAGCATGCATTTATCAGACACCCTTCACTTTGAAACTCATGATGGAGTTCCGTAATATCAAAATAGAAATACTGTAGCAATATTATTGAAGTAGAAGAATCAAAGAGTTGAGCACACTAGGCCTTCATTCATTTCAGACTTGAAATGGGAAATATATTTAATGCATAGGCCGCACTTCATTTCCTTCCTCTCTTTGTGAAAAGGAAAGAAACACGCAAGACAAAGAAGAAAAGCAAACTGAGGAGAATACATATGATGATAGCATAGAATGTAATTGCATACCAGAGCTTCTATTTTAGTGCTTGTCCGGAAATCATTGAGGTGAATCTTGTTCAATATACTTGAGGATCTAAAACCTTTGACAGTAGGTTCAGAATTAGAAACTCCTTTTTCCACGTTATGTTCCACAAGGAAAGGATGATCAACTGCCTGCCAATTAAGGAAAGACATTAGTCAGACATTTGCCACAACCAAATTTGCCTGAACAGAAGAAGCAAAAAAAAAAATGTTTGTATTTAAGCTCATGTATTTGAAGGTAAAACTACACAATATCCATAAAAACTTTTAGCAGTCATATGAAAAGCTGTACTTCACAACACATATTAAATAAGTCTCTCCATAGTCCAACCTTTATACCGATTTTACAGTTGGTCGCTAGATTTCCTGTGGTTTTATAATTCCCTTGACCAAATTGTATTAACTGTCCATTATTATCGTCCAAATATATATCCACCCATCCAAATTTCAAATCTAAGACTTCAATAAAACTAAAACAATGTAATACTATAGTGATAAAACTATTACGAGAATACATTAACATGAAAATTACAGCAGAAAATTGAATAGGAAATAGAAGATGAAAATATAAAAGCAGCAGCAGAACAATCACATATATATAGGATCAAACAACTTGAAGGCAAAACCCTCAAACAACAAGAATACACATGAAGATGTTGAAGCAATAAAAATTAGAGTGACGATAGATAGATCAGACTAGGATCTAGGAATAACACAAAATCAAACAATTGATAGCTTGATTAATTCTTCTGTGAGTATTTTATCAGTGATTCTCGGATGATGATTCTCGGATGACTTATCCTAATTTGGCCTTAATCTCTAAAGCTGTTCATTGTACAATAATGCTCATCAGTCCTTGCTCATCAGTCCTTGCTCATCAGTCCTAGTTTAAAAGGATAAAGAATGCTTCTACTATTTGCACTAAATATCTTGACTCCAATAAAAAATGGATAAATTGTTTTAGAAGTTTTAGCCCTGAAACTTCTATACAACATTGTTTTGCTACCTTCTGTAGGCGTGTATTTATAGAGCGATAGTTCTTTCTCAGAGTTCCATCCCTAGGATATCTGCAAAAAATACAACGTGGGAAGATATGGTTAGAATAAAAATATCCTCTTCATACTTTCTGCAGGAGGTAATGACTCAAATGATTTGAGAATTTTATGGGAAGAAAATGACCTGTAAAATCTTATGTCTTTATTATACCTAGAAACTAACCCAATATGTTCCAAAACTACTTAAGAACAAGTAATTGTAGGAAACATATTCCATGCAAGGACTTCATGCATAAGACAAGAAAACAGGATATGCAACCAAAAAAGGAAAAACAAAAATGATCCTATGCCATGAAATAGATTCGATGGGAAAAAGCTACTTTAGTGTGAACAGAAAAATTGCAGCGGAAGATGCAAGCAAAGTGGAACTTGCAATCCAAAAGAGCTCGATATCAAAAATAAAATATCAGAGAGCATACTTCTCCAACTTTGCAATGGTTTCTTCTAACAGTTGTTGGTTGTAGGCCTTTTCATTCACATCCAAAGAATCTATTCTCAGAGTAACCTGAATCCAAAAATAAGTAACAAGCTATACCCATGAGAAGATTATTATCCAATTGATGCACACGACATTAGTGTAAGACAGAACTCACAGTTTTCAGGGGAAGTGCAAGATCAGCAGCTCTCTCCTTTTTGGTACGTTTTAGCAATAGATTTTTCAGAATTTTGTGCTTCAACAAAACCATCGCATCTCTACCAGTCGCATTGGATTGAATTGATTCTAAAGGTTTTGCAATATACTAGAAAGAGAAGATGTTTCAACTTTACCATGTTAGCAATATGATGAAGCCTCAGAAGTATGTATATAATTATTAACTTACTCTATTCCACCAGAGAAAGTGGCGTGCAGGTTTGTGGTGGCACTGTGCACACTTAGTTGAGAAGCTGCTGTACATTACATTTATCAAAGAACACATTGATTTCAGGCAGTTTCAATAACATTGGTTGAGAAGCAAAGAGTAACAGATATTAAGTAAAATAGATCTTGAGCCATTGCATTTTTCACCCTCAGGGATAGGAATCGAGATTTAAAAAAAGAAACTTTATGTCTACCTATAATCAAGTGCTTTGCAATCACAATCTTTGCAAAAGTGATAAGCGTAAGGCTTAGCTTGTAAGAAACGAACCTGTGCGAAAGTAAAGAATGTAATTAACCTCACAACAATAAGAGGTTATGGAAAATGTTAAAACAGCAGATTTCACTTACAATTGAGTACAATTCATTCATACGGTTCTGCAGGGGTATACCAGTTAAGGCCCATTTGTATGAAGATTCTAAAGCAAGAACAGCTCTTGCCGTGTTGCAGTCCGCATCCTTTAGATAATGAGCCTATGCCACAGAAGTGCAATCAGGATAAAACATTGCAGATGAAAGATATTGTATCACATGTAATTTAGAAATTTTACTCTCATGAATGCCTAGTTCATATGACTAGATCAGGCAGAAAGTACAATATCATGCAGCATCAGTCTATATAGGAGGAGAGTTCGCAGAATATCCATGATCTGATACGAAAATAGAAAGTGGCAATCAAACTAGAATTTCAAATAACATTTCACATGATGAGCAGTCAAACAAATCATTGAATTAACTTCAGGACAAAGATAAATTTCATGTTCTTATATTCTGATAAAGGTTAATACCTAAAATGTCATAGAGCTCTCACCAACATTATTCATTACACTATAAGACTCTTCACAGCATTCTAAGAGCCAATATAAGACTCTTCACATTCTAAGAACCATCATTGTTCAACTCTAGCTTTGTAAGATATGTTACTTGGGCCTAACTCAACCCCAAATGCTAACTTACGAGGGGAGGATCTATAACAAGCTTGAAGAGTGTCTGGTACTTACTAACTTACAAGTTACATTAAAAGATCTTATGAACAGAAAATGAACATCATATACAGGGAAACCAATTGAAGAGAATGAACAACAAAATCCATGGATCTGTTAATGTTTGACTTGCCTCATCCAAAATGATGCGATCCCACTTCACTGAATGCAAAAATGACCTTCTCCTAGACACATCTTCACCAACACTGGATGAAATATCAACAGAACCATCATCACTCAATTTTTCTGTAGAATCTGTTTTCTGGTCCATTATTTCTACCCGAGGTTTTGAGTTCTTGCTGTTATGCTTTGACTTTTTTGTCCTATAGTCAGCCTCAATAGTGTAGTATGTAGTAATGACAAAATCATATTCCTCCAGTTTGTATGTACATTTCTCCCTGTTGGCGCCATGATAAACAAGGGTTTTGTTGCTACCTTTAGTGGTGCAACGTTCAATCTCGCAAAACCATTGCATTACTCCAATCACAGGACATACAATAAGAGTTCCTTTTACTGTTGGGAGTTCCTGGGAAGCACTGGGTGAAGACGACAATATACTGGAATGTTTCTTTAATTCGCGTTGAGCAAGCACAAGTGCTATGGCTTGAACCGTCTTCCCCATTCCCATTTCATCAGCAAGAATACCTCCTTTGAATGTAGATTCTTCTTGCTTTAATGACCAAGCCAGCCACTCTTTTTGGTACTTCAACAGTGGCGAGAGCAAATCTGATGGTGGCTCGGCAGTTTCAGAAAGAGACACGTTCAGAATATCCAAGTCTAAATCATCTGAATAATTCTCAAGAAGGCATGTATCATTTTCTTCTTCCCATTCTTCCCACGTCAAAGCTGGCCTTTTCTTTTGTTTCTTCTCACGTTTTTTCACCCTAACTAGAAGCCTTTCCATCAAACAATGCCTCTCAAACTTCACATAGAGAAGACCACTACCATCTGAAGCTATAGTCTTTTGGTCTTCTGTCAACAAATAGAATGGATTTCAGATTCGACTAATAGATAAAAATAAAAAGTTACATTATTTTCATTTTTGGGGTATTTCGAAATGTTGAACATAATCCAATTTCACACTAACTTTCAAGAAATGAGGGAGCTTTGGGAATGTCAGAGTTCTCATGGTATTCCAATTTCACACAATCTTTCAAGAACCTGGAATCAAAGGATTGATTTTCAAGAAATGATGGAGCTTTGGAAGAGAACTTCAGAAGAAGAAGAAAAAGAAGAAGAACCTGAAATTGAAGGATCCATTTTCCCAGAAAGCAGAGAGAAATCAGGGCTTTACACACAGAAGGAAATTAAGGGCAATTGTCGATCGTTTGTTTACACAGAGCTAGTTGGAAGAGAACTGGCAAGTGAGCGGGAAGGACTATTTATATAGAGAATTAAAAAAAAAACGACTCCTCTTTATTTTTTTTGGGAGTGGCATCTATCGAAATAGCTAAAAATATAAAATTATAGATATTTGTCTAGACTAGATTCTAGAAGAAAAGGCGTGTAGTGAGATCTTGGGGTTGGGGTCTGGATCGGGGTAGGAGTCAGGTAGTTGGGTCCCGAGTTGAGGTCAGGAGTCTGTAGTCAGATCTCGGGGTTCGGTATCGGATCTCGATCGAGGTCGTGGTTTAGTTTGGGAGTCAGGGTCGATGTCGAGGTCAGGAGTTGGGTTGGAGTTGACAATCAAATCTCAGGTTGGGATCAGGGGTCGAGAGTCGGAACCTGGGTTAGGGTCGGGAGTCAGTTTCTGGCGCAATAACAATCCTTGGTCAGGGTCGGAAGTCGAGCATCGAGTCGAGGTCGGTTCGGATCCTGAGGTCTTGATCAAGATTCAGGTCCAGAGTCAAGGTCAGAAGTTGAGTCTCAGGTCGGGATAAGGAGAGTCAGTACCTAACCCGACTCTCGTTCGACCCGAGACCCGACTCTCGATCCCGACCTGAGACCCTAACTTGGGACCCGACCACGACCTGAGATCCTGACTCAAAACCCGACTCTCGATCTGAGATCCCTACTTAGGGATCGACTCCCCACTCCGACCCAGCCTACGACCCGACTCCCAATCATGACCTCGACTTTCAACCCGCCACCCAACAATAATATTTTTCTTACTTTATATTGGGAAGTCACTTTTTCATTTGAAAAAAAATTCAAAATATTTAGATCAACCAAAAATGAGAGAGGAAAAAGAAAAACCAAAAATGAGAAAATTGAAAAATATTTTCCAAAAATTATATTTCTTCATACTAAACACACCCAGAACATTTGATTGAAACAAGTTTCGTGCTGCTCACCACTCTCATGACCTAGCCTCGATTTTCCCAAATTCCTCAGGCCCTTTCTATTATCTAGCATGCTAGCATGTGAACTAGAATCCCCATCATATTTTGTAAGGGTGAGACAGTCTTTCACTTGTGAACACAAAGTTCTGCAGGTTAGATGTTCGCTGAATTGCCTTAATGTGAATCCTATCTCCTGAGTTGATCATGAATATTTGTAATAAATATTCGATGTTTATAATTAAAGGAGATGACATATTTTATGTGGATTAATGTAACTATCTTGTTGACATTTGAGAACCCACACAAAAGCTTTTTTCAAAATTTAAAACAAAAGAGTCTAATATGAAATATTTATCCTGTTCAAGTGCTCAATTGGAACAAGTCGTTCGAGTGACTAAATGAAAATTTACTGGCAAGTTTAAGGGACTCTCGATGTATAAAGCCTTTCTATTTCTTTTCTATTAGTACTTGTACTTTGCTGTTTTAGATGGTATCGAAGGAGAGTACATTATTGTTTTGTTTGCACTCTTAGGGCAGAACGTCAATGTCGGGCATGCCGCTTATAAGCTAAACTATCTTGGCAAAGCTGAACTGCACTAAATTGCATTGTATTGTCTGTGGCTAATCTTCTTGATAATTGCCCACCTAAGAGAATCATGTTAGTTTGTTTAGATTGTTCAGTGTTTGTTTTCACTTATTTTGTGTGACTAGGTGCATAACATAGGGGTGGATACCATGCTATACCACTAGGATGTGCTAGAGAACTTTTTTTTTGGTACAAGCTAGAGAACTTTTTGGTTTACAATTGACATAGCGGGGGGAACCCTTATGATTGTCTGTCACTGATTATGAACGTGTGTAGCGTTCAGTTTGAGCTTAACTTGTATGTATGCTTAAGTTTAAGCGTGGGGTTTATTAAGAATTACACAGATGGTGAGAACTCAACCATAGATGAAACCATGGAAGCCATAACTGGCAACTGAGAGAAAGCAATAACAGAGAGGAAAATATGATTTGGTAAAATAAGAACTCACACCTTTCATTGATCAGTAGTGAAGTACTTATATACATGTGTGAATATACATCAACGAATATGCAGAAAGAGAAAATATCTAACTAACTAATTAGCTCTCTAACCGACTCTGACATCACTAACTAACTGCACTAACTAACAGAAAAGATGGAATCTAACTAACTGAATGTCATAATTAATACACATTTTAATCATGATTGTTAATACACATGTCATGATGTCAATATAAACGAACGAGTATGGTTGAAATTAGCATATTGAAAGATTGATAAAAAATAATCAGAGCGGTTATGATATTATAAAATTTTCCTCTTGACCGAATATGTATTAATCTTGATTCACAGATTCATTTTATGTGGTATCCATGATCGAACTAAAGGTTACCAAGGAATCATGCATAACACTGAATTGAAAGCCACCGAATACCCCACAACTAACATGTGAAATGGATGCATAAGGATATTGTGCTCAACTGGAATTTTTTTTCTTCTAAATCATGAAACAGAAAAGACCTTTACCAAACTTATGAGATATATATTACATTTATGTTAATTATGTCTTGTTCTGGAATTTTTGACCAAAGTAAGTCATTATGTAAATCAATTCACCAAAATAATATGTTTTTTTGAAATTTTACAAAATTAGAATAAGCGTATTTGGCAGTAACGTTTTAGGTATTATTTTATTAAAAAAAATCAGTAACAAAAAGACAAAAAGCTGACGGAGTTAACAGACCTAAAACGTTACTTTCAAATACGTTTTATTAATTCGTTACTCACAGGAACGTTTTAAGACTAAAATGTTATATCTGACTTTCACCACCATCAACCTCAATAGTCACTCCCACAACTCCTCCGCCCCCAATTATTACGACGCTCTTCTTCCTTATTTCTCCGACGACTTCACAAACAACCTCTGCGTTTCCGTAAGCAAAACTCTTTTGCTGGCATTTCAAACAGTTGTCGTCTTTGCTATGTTTGTCACTATAAATTTCCCACTTTTTCAAAAATTTCTTTAAAAAAAATATTGAATTGATTCTTGGAATTTGACTTTCTTCCATAGATAAGATTCAAATTTCAATGAGTGATTTCGATTAACTTGTCAGTTAGGTATTTGACCAACTAATTTGAAACTTAAATTTGAAATTTCTGGATGTAAATCTTACTAAAAGGTAAGATTTCAATTACAAATTTGCAATTTCAGTTTCTTACAAATTAATTAAAACATAGTAACTTATATGTTTACATTTTATTTTTAAAAAATTCATAATTCCAAAGTTTACATACATGTGCAGACACGCAGTTATGTTTTAGCCTCAATCTGTAATTGAATTCTAAAGAGTTCTTATGGTCAGTAACGTTTTAGTCATAAAACGTGATTGTGAGTAACGAATTAATAAAACGTATTTGAAAGTAACGTTTTAGGTCTGTTAACTCCGTCAGCTTTTTGTCTTTTTGTTACTGATTTTTTTTAATAAAATAATACCTAAAACGTTACTGCCAAATACGCTTATTCTAATTTTGTAAAATTTCAAAAAAACATATTATTTTGGT